ACAGGAATTCAACACCAAGGGCAGACTATCTCAGCCAAATTAAGAGGATGTAAGGTGAAAAACCAAAGCAGCTCAGTTGTTTACACGATGGAAAAAAAACCCTGGATAACAGAGACTTGTTTATATTGTACAATTACATTTAAAATTACACGAAAGACTTTTTTAGAATTTGTGTAAATTTTAGTTAAAATCATACATGATTCTAGAGCCTTAAATCACAGCAGCCTATCTCAGCACTGCATCACTCCCTCCAGCTACACCCCCCCCCACCCCCCACAGTCTTGCCCTTGTCGACTGTGCTCACATCAGCTCTGCATATTATTCAAAGATCCTTGTCTCTATTACCTCATCTGTATAAACTAAACAGGATCATCCTAAAATTAATGAGCCGTATCCGCCCCATTACATTTATCTGTTTAGCGGTGTTTTGGGCCTTCCTTCAGGGTATTATTCACGCCCCTCTGTTCATATTTATAATCTAGGCTTTTTATTAGACACAAAGTGGGACACTAACAGCCAGGCGGCAGCGTGTGTTTTGAGGGCGATGGCAAGAAGTGAAATGCGGACCAAATGTAAAAGGGGGATCCACTGCTTGGCCTAGAGAAGAGAGGATGGAAGGGTGGAGACGGAAGAGGGCAAGAGAAGGGGAGGACAGAAAGGGTTAATCTTCATTGTAATAAATGGTATCAGTGAATGAATCAGGCCTGGTTGACAGCTCTGAGCCTGCCTGTCCAGCACCAGATATTTGTCACTGGGTTGCACCTGCTGTGTTTTAAGCCTCACTAACCTGCATACATGATTCTGTGTGTGTCGGTGCATGTACTCTTTTTTTTTTTTATGTGCACATTTTACTTTATAAACATAGGCACTAAAATATTTATATGCGTTTGGTCTGAAGGTGACAGAGAGGTTATCGAGTAAGGAGAACAAAGATTTAGAGTGAAGGAAACCAGAGAGACGGAGGCCCAACTGTTCCTGGACAAGACTCTTTAACCTGAAGCTGCTTATTTTGCTTATAGTGTTGCTGTCAGAGAAGAAGAACTATTGTGTCAAGAAAGGGAACCAGCATAAATAATAATAAGGGTTACCGTGTTATTTACATCTGTGGAACATCTGCTGTGGCGACACTGTAAGAATGTGAATGTCTATCTCCCGGAGAAGAATGTAAGAGGTACTGTAGCCTATAACGGAAGATTTAACGCATCAATACTGCAGGCAAGCCTCTGTTTTACCTTTGACCTTATTTGGCCTAGTTTAACACTCCAGCCCATTAAATGAAACATTAAAGGTCAAAAATACATATCATGCACCACAACCCTGATTTGATGGGTTCTTTGTTATTCATAAGTGACATTTGGGCAGATCGCCGTAAAGAAAATGCTCAGGTGTGAATATTAAAATTGATGGTGGCTGAATTCCATTTAGGTACTTCAATTTCAGGGTGCTGGTGTCGGGCATGCTGCCCGACTGTCACTCTGTCATGGCTGACAGGGAGACCAGAATGGTTCATTAGAGAGCAACTGTGGTAGTCACGGAAAAGTAGATCCAGCAGAAGAGGTTAGTGTTCAAACATGGAGTATCACTAACACATGTTTGAACACCACTCCACCCTTTGGTTATGGTATTGTATTAACATTGTATCTACCATTTGTCTTCTTACAAACAGTTTAGTTTCAGTGTCACTTCTTCATTCTAAATGCAATTGTTCAATTTGTTCTGGCTCATCTCTAAGGTGTGTTTTCTAGAGACTTCCGTCTTCTTCTATATGACCTTTACCTTAATCTCTTCAACATGGTGTCCATCCACCATTTATTTAGTTTTCTTCATGAATATTTCTAAAAAGAATCATCGGGGATGTGTTCAAAAAGCCTTTTTGTATCACTCTGCCAAAGTCTTTCTAGGTGCCCCTCTTACCAACTGACATTTTAAATTTCCACCCCAGATGCAGTGTCAGCGTATCATCACAAAATGATTTCATAGTTTTGAAAGTGTGCCGTTTTATCCCTTGACTTTACTCGCCCACACCTAATGTATCGTTATCATGAGCGATGTACAACAGATAAAAAGTGCTTCATTATGTTGAAATTTAAAACCAATAATGCTTACAGTTGTCATCAAGTATTTTAAACTAGAAGACTTTATACATCCTTACCATTTAGTAACTATGGCTTACACAATGGATCAGTAAAAACACAATGATCCATGGGATCACTGACCTCCTCTATGGTTCAGATCACACGTAAAGGCCTGACAGTTTGAGTCTGTGTCCTTTAAAGAGAAACTTCTAATGCAGTGTATTTGGGCTGAATCTACTGTATATGGAGGACAGTCCTGTGTCTCCCCAACAACTAGTTTCCTAAGGCCTGGCCGAGGATGTGGTCTACTCGATTAGTTGCTGGGTATTCTTGTTTGCAAAAATAAAATTAAAAAAAAAAGAATCCCAGAGGTCTTTGAGTAAACAGGCCATGGCTCTGTGTGGAGCCAACCCATCTTGGTGCTCCAAAGAAGCTGAACAGAGTACCATTAGCACATTGTTATCTTGGCCATTGTGCACTGCTGTAGGCTCTCAGCAGCAGACATATACGCACAGATAACATTAACATATTCACTGAAGTCCACCACACAAGAGAAACATCTTTGTGATATTATGCATGTACGTAGGTGTCCACACAAAAGTGCATACGCACACACAAAAGATGCATAATTACACACAAAGCAGCACAATAATGCTAATCACTCATACATGGGCACTTGCCGAAATTTGTCCGAGGCACACACGCAAACATTCATAATCACATGCAGCAGGGCACATGCAGTACTCACACACACACACACACACACACACACCGCAACCACATCAGTGAAACCGCTGATCAACTGCACGACCTTCTCTCTAACAATGTTAATGTCACCACCTGGGGGAGGAAGGGCCATGATGGAGTGAAGGGAGAAAAGAAGGGTGGAGGGAAGGAGGGTATGATAATGTTGTCATACCTTCCATCTGCACCCCTCTTCCATCACTCATACTTTGTCCTACATCCTGTGTTCCGTATGCGTCTCCATGAACGACAAGATCTAAGCACGTTAACCTAAGATCTACTGTACACTGGCCATATATTGTGTACAAGTGTGTATTTGCACATGTGTGTTCCACATGGCCTGGGGTTTGCCTGCTGACAGGATCCTGTCACACCAAATGTCACACTTCCAAAAAAGGATTGGCCTCCTGTGGAGAAAATGAAGTCAAGACCTCCCCTCCCTCCGTCTTCTTCCCACCATCCTCCTTCACCTTGTTCCTGCTTCACTCTCTTTCATCCTCCACATTCATGTCTCCCACCCCCCAGTCCTACCCTTACTTATCAGTTTCTATCCGCTTTTCCGCTCGCCTGAACTATCTCCACTTCACACACACACACACACACAACCTCCACCTTGGTTTGCAGTCCTCAGCGTTTTGCTGAATAAAGTCCCCTTTAACAGGCTGGTTTTAGTGGATAATTAGTCCTCACCTTGGGAGAGGTGGAAACACAAAGAGGAAAAACTGGGGGAAAAAAACAAACAAAAAAAAGTGATTGTGGCAGGGGTTCATGGGGGGCGGGGGGGGTAACTGCAAGGGTGGAAATGAATAAGAAGATGGGTGGAGGAAATGCAAGAGGGGGTAGAAATACTGTGGAAGGAGCAGCTTTGTGTTTTTTGTCTTGTGGAGTAGTCGGAGCTTCTCCTTTCATCACATCTTACCATTCTCAATATTTAATTGTGCTCTCAGGAAAAAAAGGAATCAAGGGCGGGCGTGGAGGGGGGAAACTGACGTCTCATTGACTGTAGCCATCAAGGTAACAGTGAGAGCTCAAAGATTTCAGAAAATGAGGAAACATGACTTGTTCAGTGAAGCGAGGAGTTGTGGCAGAGCATCTCTCATTCTCACTGTAGATACCATCCTTCTTTAATCTGAAGCAAAAACATCTTTTGATGCCTCCTTTTCACTCCCGCAACAAGACAAGTTAAAATGAAAAAAAAAGCCCTCTCCCTTAGCAACAGACCCCCGTTTACAAAACTAAGAAAAACATAGATTTATTTTTAGAAGGTGCAAACAAGAGGAGGGGAGAGGAATGGGCTGGGGTGAGGTGTGAGATTGTAAACGTCTCTGATGTGTTCAGTCTGTACAACCTTATTCCTGATAATGGAACCAGCTACTCCGTCTGTCAGTGCCTATTTACACACAAATGAAGTGGCGAGTAGCACGCACCCAGTGGAGCTGCTAGCCTCCATCTCAGCTGTCAAAACGGGTTAGTGGCTACAAGTGAAACACAACGATCCTTGGGATCAGGCTGGCGCCGTCCATTCAAACATAATAGCTTCATCCTTGGACATGGTGCATCTCTTTCCCCTTTGCTGACTCTCCTTTGTAGAACCTTGGCAGCTTGTTGCAAAGTAATAGACTGCTCAGGATGCCAATTCACACAAATCTGGGGATGCAGTCTTATTTGCCCTCTGCGAGTCGAGGTGTTTGGTGTAATAGGGATGAAGCAGACCATAACTACAGCTGAATAAATCTTCCTATCTTGGCTTGGTGGAAGCCGCTGCACACACGGCTTGTCAAAGCTCTATAAAATTTTGTTTGATAGGAGTTCCTCGCAGTTTAGGCTTTAGGACTTCTCCTCTCGCTATCCGCTTGCCTCGCTTTCGTTCCGCGCTACAGCGGTTGCAATCAATCAGTGTGTAATCAGCCTCCTTGCTGAAGCTGCCAGGTAATCCTGGCTGTCTTGGAGGGCTATCTGTGTGACAGCTGGCAGGGCTGCTAAGTTGTCTGCCTAGGTAAGCGGATGGCACTATGCAGATTTCTCTCTCTACGGCGAGTACGGGCATATCGGATGATTGGACGGCTGTGGGGACGGTCATGTGGGGTGTAAAAGTGAGAATGCTTGTATGCCAAAAAGCCACAGGGCTGAACATGCCTGAGCTGAAGATAACCTTACACTTTTCCTTCACTTTCTCCACAGACCTGCCTTGAATTGGAGCGCTATCTGCAGACGGAGCCCAAGCGTCTGTCAGAACTGTTTGACCAGGACCTCGATGGTCTCCTAACTCCGGCCTACATAAAGGAAGATGGAGATGATGAGCTGACAGATGCTCTACTCCCCAGTTTGCCCAGCCTCCCAGAGCCTCAAAGCCCACCTCCAGCAACGCTGTGTCAATCCCAGAAGATAATTCCCACCTCCAATGCAATTAAAAGGGACCTAAAACCCAAAAGCCAGGCCATGGAAAGTGTAGAGGGAACAGAGGGAGTTCACCAGGCCCAGTTGAGTGCTGTCACCTCCCTGACACCGCCGTCGTCACCGGAGCTGGGTCGTCACCTCGTAAAACCCAACCAGACATTGACAGCCTCAGCCGATGGGACACTCACCTTAAAACTGGTGGCCAGGAAGGTTGGGCTCAGTGCGGCCCGACTGGTGGCAGCACACACTCTCCCAGTCCAGGTAAAGGATGAAGATGAAGGAGCAGCGTGCATGGTTGGGATCGGGGAGCTGCCAGAGAACAAGAAGAGGATTCATCGCTGTCAGTTCAATGGCTGCAGGAAGGTGTATACCAAAAGCTCCCACCTGAAGGCTCATCAGAGGACACACACAGGTGAGGCCCAGTCATTAACATGTATCTAATGAAATAAGAGCACAGGTCTTTAAAGCAGTGTTTGCATTTGCCATAGTCATTTAGCTTAGCTTAGCTTTTATCATGCATATGTGTATGCTCTTGTTTGGATCTAAAGTTCATTGATGGATATAAATATACTGTGTAGCCGAAATATGAAATGTGAGAAAATATAAAAAGGTTGGGGCATCAGCCAAGTGTGGCACTTGGACAGGTTTCAATGGCCTCTAGTTTTTTTTAATTACTCTTCTGTGAGGAATGGTGAATTGATTCTTCATCAATCTAGCTATCAAAATTAATTGCCTCACGTGCTGCCTAGCTAGGCTAAACTTAGCTTTTTATGTTTGTTCACTTTTTTTTTTTTTTGCTATATTTTACCATTGTCAAATATGACTAGCTACACTATTACTGATGAAAAAAAATTGAATATGTTATGAAAGGTTGACATGCTTTGTAGAAATCTATTCAGTAAGTAATGGCTTTAATTCAGCACCGTTTAGACTAAGGCATTTATTATGGACAAAAAAAAAAACAAAAAAACATTTGGTGCCAGGGCACATTTGTCACTTTGTTATAAGTAGAATTCATCAGTGTCACGGGAGAACAGTTGGTGTTTATAGTATGAGAAAGACAATTTGGACCCTTTTCAAGTGCAGCATCAGTAAGTGGTCCTCAGAGACCTTCAGTAAGGCATCTCTGCAGACACCCATGCCACCTGACACACCTGTTGCTTGGGATCCTGATTGACTGTTGGCAACACTTTGAAAAGCCTCTGTGATGAAACCAAATAAATCTTGCACAAAGACGAGGAGAAATGACAGAATATCTGTCCTCACACATTCATTCAGCTGGTATGAGGATTATGTAAGCACTCCACATTCACATCCTTTAAAATGAACATGTAAAAAAAACGACTTATCATGAAAATATACTTAAAACTGGGCTGCATCTGGACCATAGAAAGCTGATAGAAACATTCTATATTATTCAGAATTGTATTTACTCGTGATTATTCTTGTTTTTGTTACGTATCCAATCTGTCTACCTGGAGGCCCTTCACTCTGCCTTTACAGAAAGGGTCTCTTTTTTCAAGGTTCTTCTCAAGAAGGAAGTTGGGGGGAGGGTTCAGGAGCTATAACTCATGCGCTCTTCCATCTCAATCCCAAACCACTCAGACCCCTGTCGAGGAGCTGTCCTCCGTCTGAGTAACTGCGCAGTGATGGATGGATTGACCTGGATAGGCCGCTATTTCCCCGGTTTTATTTCACTCCCTATGCTTCTCTATTAGTCTAGGTCAGTGGCTCTCAATCTGAGGAAGGGGAGTAGATTGACGCAAGTGGTATTAAGATTGTCTCAAGACAAGGCAAACATATTTCATATACTGTGTATATGCCATACACAGTAGCCCTAAGTGAGGGAGGTTAGTGCAAAAACCATTTGGACGATAACGATAACACTGTAAGTAGCATCAGAAGAGCGCTTCACTATCTTGAAAAAAATCCAACTTTGAAGCTTTTTCTTTTGGAAAGAACTGCTGTGTCTTCAAATGCTAAATTAATTTGCCAGTCTAATCAGCTGATGACTGATAGGCGGCAGCGGTTCATGCTTGAGAAGGCCGGAATAACAAATTAAATGTGTGGTAGACGACCATCTGGACCAAAGTGCTGAAGCTGCTTCCTTCCTTACACAGTGAGAATACAGCATGGAGCCTCCATCATGCCAAATGAAGTTATAGTCACTAAAATTAGATTTGTTCACCCTACCACCATCCAAATCCCTACACTATTTGCTTGACAGATCACCTAACCTTTTCAAGGAAGATGCTACATGATGCGTTGTTTTTTTCTCTCTCTCATGGACTTGTATTTTTTTTTTTTTTTTTTTTTTTGGAAGTATGGTGGTTTGGATACAAAGAAAGTAAAACCCCAACATATCCAAACAGTGTGATCCCACTCACAGAAGTAAATGCTGTCATGTTCATGAGCCAGGATTTACAGAGCAGCCTTCCTGTAGAAAACGTTATTGACCCTAAAAAAAGGACTATAACATAAATAATGTTGAAGCTGTATTTTAATTGTTGTGTTTGTAGATTTACAACATTTTCAAAACATTAATTGTAAGAAATAAAATGTACCACTATTAAAAAGTACCCGTGCTGGTAGTATAACTCTTAGGCTGAACCTATTTACATTCATTAAAAGTGCAGTTTATTATCAAACAAACTCAGAAACCTTACCCCATTCTGTGCCACGGTATGCTGTTGGGAAACACTGTTTCCAAACCCCACATTTTGAAGCATTGAACCAGCGGCAAAACATTTTTGTATTTCCATCTAAATGAACCAATTTACTTTCTGAAGTGGCTCAGGAATACCTGCTTCAATAACACACAAATTCAAATTGTGCACCACCATGCTGTTATGAGGTGCACATGTAACACTGTGGGGGGAAAAAGTACAGTGTGAATGAGCAGGATTGGTTATGCGGTGGTTTCTGAAGAGTGGCTGCAGGGCAGCAAGGCAATAACTGTTAAAGATGTTTTCAATTTCAATATTTTCTTTCTTCATTTGTGCCACAGTGGGGAAAATACACAGATTTATAATTATATTTACTTAGTTTAATTAAATTGGTATTTTTGTAGAAAAGACTAATGGTGTGAATGTTAAATCAACCTTTGTTGGATTCTTAAAGCAATTCATAGGAGGTGCTGCAGGATCTTAGGAACTGCCATATGTTGTTGTGTTTCAAAAGTATATACAGTACATGTATTGTTTTAACCTTCACAGCCATCAGTCATGGAAATGTAACTAATAAGGTAAAGTCAAGCGAGCACAGTTGACACCACCAACAGTGGAAATAAATAAGAGGAAGAAGAGTGAGAGAGGGGACAATGAGACTAAGAGGAGGTAGAGAGACAGAAGACGAGAACAGAGGGAGGCAGCGTAGAGCCAGACTCTGTGGAAAAAGACAGCAGTGCCGCAGGCTTCCGCCTTTCACTGAGCCATTATCCTGACAAGTTTAAAGATGTCATTACTCAAATCCTCTTTTTCTTAGTTGTTATTTCCATAAATTACCCAGGAAAAAAAAGGCTACGATTTAATCTGGAATTAGACGAGCTGAGTTGGAATGGCAGTGCCCCGTAGAGCTTTTGGTGAATAGACTTACAGCAGATAAGGAATGGTACAATTAGATTTTGGGCACAGTGAGGGAATAAGACAACTGTTGGGTTGTTCTCCCCCCCCGTCTTTCCCTCCCCTCCTCTTGCCCCCCCCCCCCCCCACACACACACACACTCTAATCTCTACTGGCTCTACTCATGCCAGCTTAAATATAGCTCTTGAAAACACTTTCAAATTGGGACCGGTTTGTAGACAAATGCTGCGTGAACAATTAAGTTTGCTTTTAGATTCCAAAGCTAAAGTGAATCGGATATAAACAGCTCCCACCGGGCTGCTGCTGCTAGCCTGACTTTAATAAACCCTAATGTAGCAAACATGTCTGGTCAAATAGAAATAGCTAGAGAATGTCTCAAAAATATCCAACAGATAACAGGCTGAAGAGTAAACAAATTATGAGAAAAAAAACAAAAATATATAAGTCTTAAAGAAGAAGCCAAAACAACCAATAACTGGTTATCTTAAGAAACCTAAATCAGCATGGGTTACCAAGAATTCAATCAATAAGTAAGAACATTGGCCACTATAAAACACTATAAAATGTGTTGTTTTTTTTATTTAATCTGGAAAAACGTATACTTCCAGCAACCTGATACTCTGTTACAGCTTTCTTCGTCCCACTCTCGTTGCTAAACAGATGCTAATCCCAGTCCCAAAAATGGAGGGGAAGCCCACATCAGATGAGTGAAGTTCAACACAGCAGTAGAATAATGTGAAGGGATGGTCACAACACGTGGCCATACTGTGGATACTCTTACAACTTCTCTTGTTTTTATCCTCTCTAAAAGCTATTAGCTCAAGCTAACCAGTTATTGGCTATTTGGGCTTTTTCTTTAAGCCTTTGATAAATGGACTTTATAATGTGGTGATTTAAAACATTGATTTTAAAGTCAGGTTGGTTTCTTCATCTTCATCAGTGATTGACATGTAAAATACCTTGCGTTAAAATCGTAGCTTCTGTTACAGAGGAAACCAGCAGTCAGCACCAGGATCCAAGACATTCACGTCTGTAGCTCTACTTCACGTCCGTCATGTCCAAGCCTCTCTCTCCTCTCTCTAGCATATTCCATTCATTCGCCCCCATCCCCCCATCTATCATCCTTCACTCATTACCTGGTTCCCTCTTCCAGTGGCTCTGGTTGGTCTGAAGTGGCCAGGAGCCTGTAGATTGTTCTCCAAAAGCCTCTTTAATGGCCCCTGAGACCCGGAAGCTCTGCTTCAGCTTCAGCTAATGGAGGGAATGCAATTAGCTTCAACACTGGCACCTGAGAGGCTGGAGTGTGTGTGTGTCAGTGTGGGTGTGTGTGTGTGTGAACGTCCACACAGAAAAAACAGATTACACATAATGGGATCACAGTGACGCAGGAAATTCCCCGTTGTCAGATTATGGATGAGAAAAAGTGAGATATCAGATTTGATTGTCATGGTCAAAGTGCAAGTGGTCTTTAACAACATAATCTACACGACACATTCTTCAAACTGATTAATCCACAAGTAACAGGACATAATCAGATTAGCTCGGGCTGTGGATTAGGTCAGTGAATGTTATTTGAAACTGAAAATTAGATAAATGGTCCACATTATTTTAGGGACACTCTTCTACTGTCAGTGGATATTACTGAGTAGAAAATGGCTTTTTTATTTCTTGCTAGATTTTAGCCATTTTATTCACTATTTTTACTATTCTATTTATTAACGCTGCTTTCAGTGTATGTATTTTTCTAGCAGTTGTTTATCTGCTGCCTTGGTTCACTGTATGTATTTTTCTAGCAGTTGTTTATCTTCTGCCAGAATTCAGAACTCTTACTAGTTCTGTCCCAATTATATTTTAGTTTTTCTTTTTTTTTACTTTTTTAAGTTTACCACAGTTATTTCAGATCTAATTCTTCTTTACCTAACACATAAAAGTCTGGCTGTGACCGGTTAACCTTTAGTTATTGTCTGGCCAACTTTGAGTTATTTCTCTGCTATTTTCTGTATTTATTAATCACTAATTATTCACTTCGCTGATTCTTGAGTGACACGTAACAATTAGTAGATTCTTTGTTATTTTTTAGCAGTAACTTTTAAGCTAGCTCTTTTTAGCAGCTTTCTGTCTTCATGTTAATATCGAGGGTTTTCTTCGGTTTTTACAAACTTTTTCTTGACCCTAATCAGAAAGTTTAATTAAATCAACACTGATAATCTGGAAAGTGACACACAAACATTACCTTGTGAAACTACACATGTGCTACAGTAGCCAAGCCCACATTAACATTTTCTGCATGCCCTTTGCAAAAGTCAGCTGTATAATTTATGGCAGCATAAATCAAATAAATGAGCATGTTAAATTCAGCTAATTAAATCTTTTACAATAAAATTGTCATTTTTAATCCCAACGTTTCCAATTGAATTGGAATACATTTAGCAAATGTAAACTGTGTTTAACAGAGTGAACAAGTATTTCTGCAAGGCTTTTTTTTCATCCTTCATTTGCAACACCACCAACACCACAATTACTTCTGCTTCTACCTCCTCCACCATCGACCCCCCCGCAGCCTTTGTTACTCCCTCCCCCCTCTGCTGCTCCTGCTCCTGCACAGCGCTACCGTTACCGTTGCCAGGCAACTGCATCCGTGCTTTACCAGCGTGCTCGGTAATTGGTCTGTGGTATGGCGGTGTGCCGTAGCCAGATCCAGCCAGCTGCACTACACTGACTACTGGCCTCCTCATGTTTCA